CGCTATCGAGTATTGTTAGTTTTGCGAAATTGTCGATTGAAAACAGAGAATCGTTGGCGAAATTGGACGGATTCGTTCCGACGCTAGCGAGGAATTTAAGAATTAGTAATGAGATTGAAGTTGTTGAATTGCTGGTCACTGCTTTGGATCTGATTCTCCCTGAGAAAGGAGTTAAAGAGCAATTAATCAACTTGAATTCAGACGATGCCTCATTGTCGCCGTTCACTTTCGTTCTTCAGAAAGGCAGTTTGGATGCTAGAATCAGCGCAGCTAGGGTTTTGAAATCACTCGCGGCGTTTGACAACGAATCTCGCCGAGTAATCGCCGATCAAATCACCTTATTAAAAGAGCTATACCGCCTAACAAGTTCCGAAACCGACCTAAAGGCGGTGGAGGCAGGATTCGCAGCTCTGATCGCCGTTTCCACATCTCGCCAATCGAAAAAGGAACTCGTCCGTCTCGGGATCGTGAGAACCGCCGGTAAAATCCTCTCCGGTCCGGAAAACACAGTTCCGGTGATTGAAAAAGTGATGAAGATACTAGAGATGGTGTCGACATGCACCGAAGGACGGACGGCGATATCTGAAGACGAGAACTGTGTAACGGCGGTCGTACACCGGCTGATGAAAGTATCACCGGCGGCGACGGATCACGGAATCGGAGTGATCTGGAGCTTATGTTACATGTCAAGAGATCGAATGGCTCAGGAATCTGCAATGAGAAACAATGGATTAACGAAGGTGTTGCTCGTGATGCAGAGTAATTGCTCCGGCACAGTGAGGCAAATGTGCGGCGACCTGGTCAAGGTTTTCCGAGTTAACTCAAAGTCATGTTTGGCGAGCTACGAAACGCGGACAACTCACATCACGCCGTATTGACTCGGTCTATACTTTTTTTTTTTTTTTTTTTTTTTTTTTAGAATTCATCTGACTTACAATTTTAGATCAAAAGGCTGTAAATCATATTTTTATTATAAAATGACAAATTGATCCCTCCCTCCACCACTACCATCAACCAATTGCATAAAACCTAATTTTGTCTTTTACTATAATTTTCTTACAAACAATTGCAAAAAATAAATAATTATAATAATTGAAATTGGTTAATAGAATCTATTAATCTGAAAAGTTAAGTGTTAATATAAGTGTTTAATAGGTTTCGTGTCTATTTTAATGCTAGTATATATTTTTATTGTTGCATATTTGTAGTGTTTTACTTGTTTACCCTTATCCCTTTTATGTATACTTCTAGTTTTAATGTTTTTGTTTATTTATTTATTTTTGGTTATATTTGCTTATTTTTCATTTTGAGTTGGCGCTTTCGTACGAATGAGACCACTCATTGTGGGCAAGTCATCTGGTTTTTATGGCGTTAAGGTATTGTTGTTGTTGTCGATGTATTAATGGTTAATAATTGTTTGTGTTAAATTAGTTTTTATATTATGAAGCTCAAAAGTAATTTATATTTATTATATATAATAGTTCATATTTATGGTTTTCAATTTTTGGTTAATTAATGTATAAAGCAGTGATTCGATTCTCACAAAAGTTTGAATAAAGTCCTAAAAATCTTTTTTTTTAACATAATAGTTTCAATATTTTGATTTTTTGTCTAAATTAACGAAAATTTTATTTTTATATTTGAACAGCAAATGATAGATTATATGGTTTTTTTCAAATTATATGATTTTTCTGTTCAAAAAAAAAAACTTTTATGATTTTATTGAAACTTTTAAAAAACTTTATAAGACTTTTATGTAGATAACTGATAACCCATAAAACTTGTCCCTCTGAGAAAAATTTTAAGGAATTTATAACCAGATACAAACCAATATAAAGCAAAATGAAAATTTTCATTTTAAGACATATTTGACAAAACTAGTTAGAAATGTAACTTTTGTTGTTTAGAATTGTTCAGTAAAAATATATAAAACAAACTAAACTTAAAAAAGAAAAAGTTAAAAACTCTTAAAAACTTTAGCTATACTTATTTACATTTTATATTTTCAACCACATACATACACACCTTTTTTTTTGTATTGCAAAAGGAATTTATTAGCAAAATGATTATCTTTTTTTTTTCTTGTCTAATGGCATTGCATATGCAATTCCGCATGTTAAAATATAAAAATTTCCAAATTTGAATAAGGATTAACGTTTGGTTTGAATCCTACGTATGGACAACTTCTACCTTAGACTTTGACCAATACCTGTAAGAAGAGAAAGATGCTTTTGGAAATGTATAAAGACAAAACCAGTATTAACTATTACGTGACAGAATATAAAAGAAATTATATTTATATGAGAGATATGAGTTAAATTAAATAAATTAAAAGCAGGGACTACAGTTTTTGACTTTTGTGGTTTGACAAACATTTATAGGTTGATGCTTTTGACCCTAAAATCGGGTAATTGTTGGACATGATTTAAAGTGGTTTTGATTCTTGATGTTGGCATGTTTTAAACCAAATGTGTTTTCTTTTTTATGTGAAGAATATATGACGTTAGTTAAATGCCATTATTTCCTTTATTGGTATCAAGAATAGTTACAAAAATTGTTCTAAAAGCTACCATTTCATATTCTATATTTCACTTTTTTATAACTTTATGAATAAATTACGGATTTCGTTTATTTGGTTTTGCTTTATTTATAGGTTTGGTCTAGTAGTATTAGTGGTCACAATTTTAATCAGAATTTTTTAATTTGACTAGGAACTTCTGTGTTTTTTACAAGGCATGTGGTGTACGTATTAGTCATTTTCCTTATTTACTTTTTAAACGGATTTTAATTTTCTAAACAATCATAAAATTCTAGAACACACTTACATAAGCTTCATTAACTTATAAATTAAAATCCTAATTAAGGGATTTAATATAGAGCAACGAAAATGATAAAGGATATATGGTCTAACAATATCCGGAGTTGATAAATAAATATTTTTCAGATTTAGACAAAATATTTAGATTTAAAAATATGAAAATTAAATATCCTGCTACTCATATCAAATGATGATATGTATTATATTAAATTTTTCTTAATAATATTTAAATCAACTTATCACCATTTAACATTGGTAGGAAGATAAGTAGGAGGAAATTGTAAGAGGATATTTAATTTCTCTAAAAATATAATAATGGATACATATGCAAATCGTTCTAAAAAATATGTAATAAAGAATTTGAGTTTTGACATTTTATTTAAAAGAAAAATAGAAAAGCTAACACAAATTATTAAGCTTTTTCTAATAAATAAACTAAACTTTAAAAATATTAAAAAAATAACATCTTTCGGATATGCCTATGTAGGGGATCTCAATAGGTCGGAAGTGGTTCCAACTATTTACGCCATTTTTCATATTTCTTTTAACTTTTTCAATTTATATTATTCAAAAGAGAAATTGAATATATTTTTATATTTTCTATTCGTCTTGTTAAGTTATATTTAATAAAAATAATAATATTTTAATACGTTATTAAAAAAAAAACTTTTATCTCAGCATAGCTGAATAGGACAATGGACTTATTGTAATAAAGTTTTTTTTTTTATATATTAGTTTGTATTTGCCTATATTTTTCTACCATGTAGATAACTTTTTTATATATATTTTAGCATTTTCGTAGGCACCATACCAAATGCATTTTCACAAGTCACCCTACGCAAATGCATTTTTGCATTGTACCCCGTGATTTATTTTTATTTTTATTTTTTGTTATTTTTTGTTTCAAATTTCAATACTCTTTTTTCTTATAAAATGTTTATGGAAAACAAAGAAGTGCTGTTGGTTATAAAAATTTATTTTCAGTTTCTTCAAAAATATACAAGAAAATAAAAAAGGATAGTAGAGTTTTTGTTTTCAATAGAAAATTTAAAGAAACACGGTTGATTAAAACTTACTGAGTTTTATTTTCCATTTTAGAAAAATTACAAAATCTGTTGGAATTATTGAATATGTATGTTCAAACGGTTTTTATTTTTCAATTTTCGTTACATCAATACAATATTTAACATATTACCTTCTACAAGTTATATTTAATTTAGAAAATCAAAAAGCTCTCTTTTCTTAGAAAATTTTTGGAAAAAAAATCGAACCAAAAATATTTTTCTATGTTTAAAAAAATTTCTTAGAATTTTTTTTACAACCAAACATACCCTTATATTGTATTTAGTGAATTTTGTTTATACTAACTATTTGAATAAAACCACTAAATACTAATTAGATTTTATATTTTATATTAAAAACAACTTTAACATGTTAATATTTTACAGCAGATAAAAAAAATCAAAATAGGAAATATGCCAGACTTGATTAGCTATTACGAAATTAAAATATAACAATTAAACCATTAAAACCACAACAATATAGTAATCTTTATGTATTTTTCCAAATGAAAAGGCAAAGATTTCGACTATTTTAAAAGCAAACCGATTTGAGTCATTGATTTGAACTAAAATCGGCTTATCAAATCAACAGCGTTGTCCATTACTAAAACAAAGGATGCTATATCATTAAACCACCTCCTTTTAACATTCATCACACCTGGACATAAGTTCTTTTAGGGGAAATGCATTTATGAATTGTTCCCACTACAAAAAATGAAAATTCTATAAAAACAATTTGTGGAACGCTTTTTGTTCTGCAGAATATGGTTTTTGCGCAATTATTTTCAAAAAAAATAATAATAATCTTATGTTAATTCGCCTGTTTTGCGGATTTCTAGTGAGATCCACATCATCCACTCACAAACCATTAAAAAAGTAATTTTGAAAATACTTTAAACAAGCTAAAGCTCTAAACATAATTCAGATCAACCGGAAACAAAACAATATACTCAAATCAAGCACCAAATAAATCTAAAAGAACACTGAAAACAGATCCATTCAACATTTCAAGAAATTTGTTCGAAAGATAAACAAATACTAGAATCTGGAAATTAAAATATATATATATATATATATATATATATATATATATATATATATATATATATATATATATATATATATATATATATATTATAGATTTCCACTTTCACATTATCCAAAATGGGACTGAATGCAATCTCACGTAAATCACTCATTGTTTTGCTACATCCAGCTTCTTTACCTGCCACACCTGAAATACCAACAACCATTACACCCCACTTGCTAAACCAAAACAATTTGTTGTAGTGTCTTTGGCTTACATTGAACCCGGATACATGTCAATGGGACAAAATTTACAATTTTTTGTCTCACCCAAAAAGGCAGAACAAGGTAGGACAGAGACTCACATTCTATCTCTTATCTGTTAAAAAGACATAAATGTCCTCCACATCCTAATCATCAAAAATAGCCCTACAAAGCTTGACCAGTCCCAATAGTGTCGTGTCCAGTATAACAAATGCAGCCTTCGGCTGCATTTGTTACAAGGGACTGGACAAGATAGGACTCAACAAGCTTTTTAGGGCTATTTTTGAGGATTAGGATGTGGAGGGTATTTACATCTTTTTAACAAACAAGAGATAGAAAGTGAGTCTATGTCCCACCTTGTTCTGCCTTTTTGGATGGGACAAAAAATTGTAAATTTCGTCCCATTTGACACGTGTCCCGGTTCAATGCATGTCAAACACAGTACAAACTGCTTTGTTTATGTCTTATTACAATAGCTCAAAAAAATTAAATCTAAATTTTTTTTTATTACAAGAAAACTAAAAATCATTACCTTAGATGCATAATCAAGGGCGTTCATAGGGACCAGAACGATCGCGATCGCGATCACGTCTATCGCTTCCCGAACCACCACGACTGCCGGAATCCCTATTCCGTCCACTCGAACGATCACGATCTCCGCCACGGTCAGGACCATGGCGGCTTCCGCCGCCGCCACCACCACCATATCTGTCATCTCTTCCACCATACCGACTACCACCTCTTGACCCTTCTCCAGATGGACATTCACGAGCAAAATGTCCAGGCTTTCCACATTTGAAGCAGTCACCGCCAGATCCCCGCCCACCACCGCCGCCGGCACTGCCATAATCACGATCTCGCCCGCGGTCCCTCCCCCTGTCGCGGTCACGGTCACGACCGCCATCACGGTCTCTACCACCACCGCCGCCGCCTTGATTTGGTTGAGCTTTGTCTACTGAAATCGGACGCCCATCTAAATCTATTCCATTCATTGCTTCGATTGCATCTTCCATTGACTTTTCATCATCAAAAGTAACAAATCCAAATCCACGTGATCTCCCTGATGATCTGTCCATAACAACCTAGAAAACAAACATATGTGAATTAGTGTACAAATGAAAGTACAAATGAAAAAGGTTTACCTTTGCATCTAGAAGATGGTCAAATTTTTTAAAGGCTTCTTTCAAATCCCTGTCAGATGTTGACCATGAAAGGTTACCAATGAAACAACGATATTCATCCTGATCAATCATGTTCACCTGAAAGAAGAAGAAATTGAAGGTGTCACATACAGGTAAGAGATGAATAAATCCATCACTCTGTTTCAGCAAAAAGCAAATACATTTTGGAATTTTGAAGATTATATTATGTCTCAACTAAGATTTAACATTGTATATGAGTAAGTGACCTAAACACCTCTTAAATTGCAAATATTTGATACTCCAAAGTGAAGAAACGTCAAACTGAATTCACCTTTTATCATACAATACAGCTCAGTAAACTGGAAAACAAATATTGTTACAGGTTTCTCCATTTTTTGCGAGAGAAATTATCACATGAACTCTGAAAATGAAATAGTTACAGTGAAGAATCTCCAAGGTTTCAACTTGCACTTATCGGATTAGGCAAAACGTGTTAGATACCTAGATCGTCTAGGATCATCAACATTTTATAACAACCGAGTCACGAGAGGTAATGGAAGCCAAAACTGGATTAAAACTTATGGGTTAGGATGCCAGAATAAAACAATATGTTCGAGTTCGAAGCGAATTGGCTTAGATTGTTGAGTCCCTATCACATACGTCGAATATATGAAACAAAATGCAGCGAAAACAAATTTAATGTACCATGAACGAAAAAGAAGAGCTATAAAGCTACTACAGAGTGAAAAATCATCCGATAGAAACTGGATAGCTGCAGATACTAGATCAAGAACAACGTTTAGCAAATACGACATGTAAAGTATAAGAGAACGATGAATCTAAGATGCTATTCTGTTATAGAGTAGCGAGTCGAAGTACTTACAGTTTTTTCGCAAACGATTGCGTCTATAAGCGAGAGTTCCTTCTCTTCGCTTTCCAAAACCCTAACCCTAATCTGATTGAGGTGGAGACCTCAAATTCGGTTCGAGAAGGATTTTTGTCAATTATGTTAACTAGGCAAAATATTATGATTTGTACCCTTATGGTTTAGAAATACTGCAATCAAAGTCCCTCTCCGATTGTTTTAAGACGGGCAAATAATAGCATTTAAAATTTTTGTTAGGTATAAGGTTAATTTTTAAGAATAATTTGAAATTTTAAGAAGCCTGGATTTTTAAAAAGATTGAATTTATAACATGTTGTTTGGTTAGAACTTTTGAATTGTTAGCGTTAAATTATAAAAATAAGGGATTTTAGCATCTTAGTACAACAAATTTTGGCGAATTTACACATTTAGCCATTCAAGTATTTTTTTATGCTCAATTGGTCCTAAACGTTAGGATATACCGGCTAATTAAGGGTTTGAAAGAAATTGTATTCGGTTTACGGGTAACATGCTAACGTGGCAGAATGACAGGTAATCGGTTGTTCTTGTATCTGGTCATATAATGGTGTAATTGATATGTAAAATTTAACTTTAATGATCTACTAGACCCAAAAAAAACAACAACAACTTGAGTGGCTACATGTGTAAAATGGCCAAACTTTGTTGTACTATAATGTCAAAAACCCTAAAAATAATCATTTACCCTTATGGATTATTTTTTATCGAATTCAATGTTTCCGTCAATTAGAACAACAATAACGACCCAAAAATCAATGGTAAAATTTTCATTTTTTATTATAGTCAAATACAACTATTACTTAATCCAAACATTCAAAAACATTGCTTAATTAAAACATTTATCAGAGTTACATCCCAAAATCATAAAATGCGGAAAACATGGGTGTGTGCACTGCAATCAAGTCGATCCCTTCCTTTCCAAACAAATGATACCTAAACCCATAAACAAAACTATAAGCACGAAGCTTAGTGGGTTTCCCAGAGCATACCCCACATAATCCACGTAACTGCATAAACCATATCAACCACATAAGTCATGAGTATAAACATATAAGCATATAAGGATGTTGTGGGCTCCTCCTAGGGTCTTACTCCAGGATGTCATAGGCTCCCCCACATGGTCATACACCTAAGTGTCATGGGCTCCCCAGTGGTCTTTACCTGGAAAGTTATCGACTCCCCCGCATGGTTTGACATCCAAGCGTCATGGGGTCCCCCCATGGTCTTTACCTGGAAAGCCATAGGCTCCCCCGCATGGTTTGGATTTGCTTGATGAGATCAGTCATATCCATAACACCTTATATGTCTCTCAGTTACAGAAGTGTTTAGCTGATGATTATGCGGTGATTCCTTTGGACGATATTGAGGTCGACGAGCGCATGAACTATGTGGAGAGGCCGGTTGTGATTCTTGACAGGAAGACCAAGGTTATACGCAACAAAGTGGTGGACCTGGTAAATATGCAATGGCAACGCTGAAAGGGCTCTGAGTGGATGTGGGAGTCTGAGGATGAGATGAGGGAGCACTACCCAAACTTGTTTGCTGCAACGGACTTTGAGGATGAAGTTTGATTCAAGTGGGGAGAGTTGTAACACTGTGTTTTAGGTACCTTTCATTTTGTCTCTAAGTATATAAAAACTTTGCAAAAATAGTCCTTACGCCAGGGGGGGGTACCTCCTGGAACGTCGAGTGTAGTTTATTAATGGGTGGCAGGGATTCTTTCGCATATGTTAGGCATACGTAAGATTACCTTGGGCTTACTCATGAAGATTCTAAACCCTAATTTTTAGGGTTTAGACCCTATTTAAAGGACATTATAACCTTAAGACCTCTCTTACCTCTAACCTCCATCTCTCTTAGCCTCCATTTTTGAAACCCTAATTCTTGTGTGTGGTTTTTGAAGCTTTTAATGACATTTTGGTGTTCTTGGTGATGAAGGAAAACCTTTGGAGTTGTGGTATTTCACTCAAGCTCTTGGATCCATCATATACTCATCTTTGTGCATCTTTAGTAGGTATAAAGCTCAAATCTTGATGCTTGCCTTGCTAGATCTTGTTAGTTTTCAAGTTATGATCTTTTTGTCCCAAAAACCTTGGTCTCATTAGTTTTTTCTACTCCAAACCATTGAGTTGCCCTTTCAAGCATTTTAGAGTGTTTAGTGACATAAAAATGCAAGCTTGGTCCTTGGTTTTCATCCATACAAGAGTTATGGAGTTTTAGATGGTAATATAAGTTAGGGTTTTGGTTTTGAGCTTCCTTTTGCCATGCAAATGCATAAAGGTTACAACTTATGAATTTAGACGTTTAATGGGTTTAGATCTGAAGTTTGGACATTAAATCTTAAATATTTAAGACCTTAACAGAGGGTCTAGATTTCCAAAGGGTATGTTGGGCATAACCTTGAGTATGTTAGGCATACTGGGTTGCTGCCCCATAATCCTTCTGAGTCAAAAGTTGTACACATGGTGTGATAAGTTGTACGCATGACGTACTCCCAAAGAACCCTTTTGGGTCATTTTTGGTCTTTGGGTCGTTAGGGTTTTTGGGCCTTGAATATTGGGTCATGTATGAGAATGGTAAAATGGTCTTTTTCCCTTAATAAGATAAAAGATGTTTTAGACCATTGATTATGGGTTAAAATCATGATTATTAATTAGGGATGTCTTTGGGTTTTGATTAGTGAAAGAGGTCGTGATAGCAGCAGCTCAAGTGTGAGATTTAGTTATCTTCAGGTAGAGGTGAGTCATCTCACTACACTAATGGGTCAAAGGCACCAATGTCGGCCCACTGATTTGTATGTGTGGGAAGTATATGGCTATATAAATATTACTGATAAGATTGTATGATATATGTATGGAGCCGATCTGGGCTCGGAGTCATTATGGACTCGGGGTTGATACGAGCCAGGTGGTTGATACGGACTCGATACAACTACTAGTTGTTACATGGGTTGATACAGACCCGACACAACCACATGTTGTTATATTTATGTGTGTATGTTCTGCGTGGTATTTTGGAGAACCCACTAAGCTTTGTGCTTATGGTTTAAGTTTATGTTTCAGGTACTTCTGGTTTGAAAGGGAAGGGCCCGACCTGATCACAACGCATCCAGTCGTGTTCAACATATTTTATTATTTTGGGATTGTACTCGGACAACCATTTTCACATTGACATACTTTCATTGGGTTTAATATGCATATTTGATGGTTTTTATTGACTTAAAAACAAAATTTTTACTTTTGATTTTTGGGACATTATAGTTTTGATAAATGATTTTTGCAGTATTTGATATTGTTGATGTTTGGCACAGGGACGGTGAGTGCAGAAGATTATCAAGAAAATATGAGGAAAATATGTGGTGTATTTTCGGCATAGAAAAAGCATTTGTTCATTATGTATGAGATAAGATTCATCAATTTTGGGTTGATGATGTCTGGGTTTATGCGGAAAAAAAGGTTAGATTGTATTATTAGGTCTGTTTTATTAATAATGTAATGTTTAGACTTTGTAATTGTTAAATTACATAATTCTTATATAGATATGTTTACTTATTTGTTGATGTTAATAGCTTTTGTATTTGTATGTATTTGCAAGTCTATATATATATATATATATATATATATATATATATATATATATATATATATATATATATATATATATATATATTTGTGAATGTTTGCATTTATAATTGTATGTCTGTGAATATTTGCGTTTTCTTTGTCTAAACGTCTTTTATATAAATATTTGTATCTCTATGTATGTAAATTGTCATAATAGAAAGACGAATGGAAAAATATGTCTTATTTTCCTAAACAGTAAGTAGTTCAAAATTTGTATCTTGAGCTGTTCAATCCTGTTTGTTGTCTTTGAATCTCTAATTTGATTGACAATTAGGTGTTCTTTATAAAGTTAATACAATTGTTTGTTGTTTACATGTGACAAAATAATTTTTGCTTCAATTTTCTTAAACACATCTTAAAAACATTAATCAAAATTACTTTTTTTCACTCATAGTAAAAAACATACATAAAGTTAAACACAAAATAAAACATATTAGTTGTTATTAGACCTGTTAGAACCTTGGGTGTTATTATTTTCATTAAGAACAACTATAATTGAGTAAGGATGAATATTAATTGACCGAAAAAACGTATAGAACGCACCTTAATCGGTTTGGTGGGTTGGGTTTATAAGGTTATAATTCAGCTTTCAAGTTGGATGACAATCTAGTTCGAATTTGTGATAAATCTTTTTTATTCGAGGAACAACAGAAACCTACTAATTGTTTAAGTTTTAAAATACATTAGGGAAGTTAATTCAAATAATATAATTCACCATAAGCGAAGTTAAATTTTTGTTCATAAACAATTAACGATTTTGGTCCTTAATTACTTTTTATCTAATATAAATATAATTTATGATGTCGACATGCAAGTTCTATCGTGGACATAGGTGGATTTAGGTGGTAGGTTAGAAGTATATTATATTTGTCGGTTCAAAAAAATTATTTAATATAAATATAATGTATGACTATTTCAAAAAAAAAAAACAAATTTGGTGTTGTCCTCCCTTTAGAGGTCGATGGTTCAAGTCTCGTTGTGGATATTGGTATTAGGTTAGGAGTAGATTATATATCCTGGTTCAATTTTTTTTGTCTAATATAAACATAATTTATGATTATTTCAAAATAAAAAAAAATCTAATTCGGGGTGAACAACCCGAAATCGAGAAACTGAAAAGCCGAAGATCATACGGTTCACTTTACGGGTAGTTTCGATGTCAGACGCAAAACTGATTATCCGGAAGAATCGTTTAGTGCTCACCCTAAGCGTAGATGTAATTTTTTTTTTTTTTTTTTGGGGGGGGGGGGGAGGGGGAGGGGGGTGCCGAAGGATTAGTTTATGTGATTTTAATAATTTATAATATAATGGATCTTAACCGTGGAGGCCCACAAGTTTTCCATGCATACTATTGTGTTTAATTATTTTCTCTATTATTGGATTTGGAACAATTTTAAAGAATTTGAGGCCATTCCTCAACAACAATGTGATTAAGAAAGCTAATATAATTTACTATTTCAAAAGTAAAAAAAAAACACAAAATGAATAAATTTGAGCTAACCAAACCGAACCGGCCAAGTAACAAAAAACCAAATATAATATGGTTCCTACTAGTTTAGATGACAAACACAAAATCGATTAACTTGAAAACCCGAGGAACTGCCTGAGCTCACCCTAAATATGGGGTGTAATTTTGGGGGAGGCTTGTGAAAGATAATAGATTACTTTATTGATCAGCTAAAAGACAATTACATAATATATAGAGAATACTCAAACCCTAATTACTTAACCCTGATGGGTTTGAGCCTAAACACTAATCACTAACACTCCTCTACAGTTTTATCTGTAACAGCCCAAAATCATAGATACTTAAAATTTTCAAAAAAAAAAACACCCATTTTAACCATAAAGTGTTTACAAAACAATTGTTCTCAAAAGTAATCATAATCAGAGTATCACAAAATCCAATATCATATAAACAGGAAGATGTGCATGATCACGCCTTCGCTTTCCCACGATAATCTGAAGTACATGAAACAATAAACTGAAATTATTAGCCAAAACTTAGTGAGTTCCCCCAAAGTACCAACACACAAACATATAACAACATGCATACTAGGTCCACAACTAATAGACTCGATTACCCTTGATCCCACAACATGAATCCGACTTGCCTTCTGACCCACAACTCATGTATAGCTTGCTCCCGAGCCCACAACATAAGTTTGGCTTTCCCTCCAGGCCCACAACTTATATTTGGATTGCTCCCGGGTTTGTTGGCTTCCGCATAAAGTAGTATTGCCTCAACCCAACCATACTATGTCGACATATACATAAGAGATAATATATATCCAACAAACTGATAATCAAATAATCAATTAGGGTGATAGGCAGATCTACATATCACTATAGCAGAATAACATCCTATATACTAGCACACAGATCTAACAGATCACTGAAACATAGCAACATTCTCTATACCAGGATACATAACCTAGTGGGTCAACATTGGTGCATTTGACCCAAAAGTATAGTGAGGAAAACTCATCTCTCAATCTGAACAAGCTGAATATGTATTTACTCTAAATCCCAGTGTAACTCCCCGATTCTCAGGTATTGATTTAATTAAGAATT